GCGGAGGGGAGGCCCGCGCAATCGACGGGGGAGCCTGCCTGCCGAGTGTGGACCAAGGTAAGTTCGAACTAAGGTACTTCGACTTCAGCTACGTTATTCACGTAGCTGAAGTTGCGTACCTTAGTTCGAATTAGGGGGGTAGTGTAGACAAAGCCTTAGATGCTATCATTTGTGTCATAAACATCTACGAGGAGAATAAAAAATGTGTGTGCAAAAGGAAAACTGGAGGGAGGTAAAGGGCCTTATGCTGCATTCTGCTGCTCAGAAATACATTTGGTTTTCTTTTCTGTCTTATGGATAAGCTCCGTAGATGCAGCCCTGCTTAGCCTATAAAGCTCTCTCATCAGATACCTATTCGCTAGTGATTTAAGTCCTCTCTGAATATATGTACTATGACATTTATTTAACAGGGCTAACAGGAACCCAGTGATTGCTGAGGACTCTATGGCTGATAGTCTACTTGCCAGCAAAAATGGATTTTTTTTATAATTAAAATGACAAGATAGGTATATTTGGTTCAGCTTGAGAGTTAGATCTTTAGGAATTCTCTTCACTCCATTAGCTAATTGGCTTAGGAGATGGATGCCAAAGCAGACGGCAGAGTGGATTTCAAATTAATTTTCTATTTTTGCCTCAAAGTAAAAATGTCTCAAAGCAGGTGTATGCCCCTTAAGGACTGAATTCATTTGATTTTGAAGTACTCATAATCCAACAATTCCACGGGTACCTAGGACTTCCTCTGTGTCACCATGCTGTAGGCTGTGGCCACTCTGAACGTCAAAGAAATAGCAGGAATAGAACTCAGATCCTGCTGCTCCCAAAACACAGGCCTCTGCTACTGGAGCTAAAGGAGCACCTGTTAGCGGTTAACAGTATAGTGCCTTTGACCCACAGTTTTGCAATTCTGATTTTACCCAGTAGAGGGAAGGTTTGCATATACACTAGCCAGTTCATTATAATTACAATATATTTTCATCTTCTCTTTCCCTGCTGAATTATTACCTTCTCCCCTTTGGTGCCTGGTAAGCCAATAAGTCCCGGGGGACCAGCAGGACCCTAAAAAGAAAAGTGATCTATCAGAAGGATTTGGAAAATTGCTAGTAAATTTTTTTTGTAGCAAAAATGCAAGCTAGCAGATTTCCCACATACAAACCAAGCTACTCACAGGTGGCCCAGTGTCACCAGTTGCCCCTTTCTCACCATGGTCACCTTTTTCTCCCTTTACACCATCCAAGCCCTGCATGAAAAGATAGTGACAATTACCAAGGGGAGACAGTGTACATAAGAGCATTGGATTGGGTAGGTTATAAATACCCTGGGCTCAATTCTTCTCTCATATACTTTGGTGAAACTGCCATTGAAGGCCAGCGGAATTGTGCCAATGTGACTGAGGACAGGTGAGGACCAATGTAAAAGTGAACTGCATTATCTAGGATCAGAATTACAGTACTTGGAGAAGGAAAAGGCCAGTTAGTACATCAACTCCATTTCATGCAAAAGCAGAAATGTCAATACCTCTGATCTATCTGAAGTTTATCTCCCTGCCTCCCTGTAAACATATAATACTTTGCATTTATATATACAGTTGAACAGTAAGTTTTCTTGAATACATCACATGAGAAATGTTTTGAACTAAAAGTTTAAACTTATGGGTTAGGAAACAGTTTACATCACACGTTCTGTGCAAACAGAATCACAAAGAGGATTCAAGTTCAGAAGTCCATTTGGAGGAAATATTGCTGATACAATATGGGCCTAATTTTCAAAAATGTTGAGCCCCCACAACTACAACTGAAGTCAATGCATGCTTTTGATGCTCAGCAATTCTAAAATCCAGCCCCTATGTTGTGTTCTCTCTCAGTCATGCACCAGCAGCCTGGAAGTATGGTGTGAAGAACACTTAATGTGTTGACTCACCTTGGGACCTGGGATTCCTTGAGGACCCTGCAGGGAAGACAACAGTGTATTTGAAAAAAACAGATTTTTAAGTCAATTAAATACAATCAAATACAATTCCCCAATCATTTTTTGTGTTAGACCCACAGATCTGTCTTTGGCAGTGATGTATTATAATTATTTAATCTCAAACATTTCTTCTCAAGGTGGATGGTAGTTTTTTGTCTCTCCTAGTCCAACTCAATAGGAATGAAAAATCATTTCTTGCATAATGTACAAAATCCTTTGAAATTAACCTTGGATAACGAAGGCTACAGAAGGCTTTCTGAAGAGGGAAAATTATAAAGCATTCTGCTGCTTAACGTGCACCCCAACATTAATATCCTTTTGAATCCAAGTGAATTGGAAAAGACCTTCGGGATCCCTTCTCCTGAAGCTATAGGTGCGATCTTAATTAAACTGTCTATCAGAAGTCCTCCCTTATTCAGTGCCTCAGAATAGTTCCCAAGACATGCTGCCTCTTCCTCCCACCTACAAATGTGCTCAGTACGTTGACTAGTCTGTAATCTTCTGGCATATCTCAAGGCTCTGTTTTATCCTACGTTTGCCACCTCCCAGACATCTTAGAGGTCTCTGTTGCATAAGCTCAGGGGGTGTCAAATTCCCTTGACTTCAGTAGGACCAGAATCCAGCCTAATTTGTACAAGTGTATATGCTGATGGCAGTTCTTGCCATTTCTATTCCTGAAATGCCGGGGCATGCACTGTTATCAACTGCAAATACAGTTACACAAGTGCTCAAACACATTCCTGATTCAGGGCCTGAAACACAGCATTCAGACCTTTCTAGAGAAAACTTTACAGAACACAAGAAATAGTGCTCAAGCTAGTTTGGAAACCACATTATGGCCTGTTAGTCCCTAATTCTTCAGACTGCTCAATGAAGTCTAAGGTGCGTAGGATAGCAGACAATAAAGCACCTCCTTCTTTAATAAATTTAATGTGTTAATGAATTTTCAGACATTCTCTACTGTAAGTGCCATTCGTTATAAACTTACCATAGGGCCTGGCAATCCAGGGGGTCCTGGTTCTGGTATTATCTGAAAATAGGAATTTCATTATGTATTAAAGTGGGTTGGTAGCATGTACTGGATTGTGCCAAATTAACACCTGAATAGTGAGGTCACTGATTATTGTTTAACTAGTTTTAGTTAATAACACCTGGATTCACAAAGGGACTTGTCAAGGAGGAGAAGAATGACACCTGCTGGACCAAGATGACAGCTGAATTATGGGATATTCTGAGATGGGTGCCCCTCAAGCTCTCCTATTGAAGTTGTTCCACGTTAATTAAATATTGATTGGGCCAGAGAAAGTGAGAATGACTCTACGGCCTAGTGGTTAGGGCATTCACTTGCAAGGTGGCATTTCCCTACTCTAACCTCTTCTCCTCAATCAGGCAGGGATGGGAAACTTGAACTGGTGGTCTACCCTATCCACTGGGCTAAAGGAGATAAGGGATGTCCTCCCTCCCTCTCTCATTGTATGTAGAGCTAGGTGGCCTCTGAGCACGCCTACCTGACGGGGCCCAGCAGGCAAGTTAGGTGTAAAGTGCCTATCGTCCCCCTGTTTGGGGATCACGCTGGCGCCTAGAGGGAGGCAGTAGTGCATATGCCCAGAGGGAGCTTTTACTGTAAAAGTTTAGGTGCTGAGTGAGTTTAGGTGCTTACAAGGTGAGGCAGCAGCCAAGCTGGATCATAGTGGTGTCTAAAAACAGGACTTGGGCATCTAAGTACCTTTGTGGATCCAGCCCTAAACATCTGAAGAACTTCACAAAATACAAGTGCCTGAATGTGATTTCTCTAATTTTCTTAGGAATCTATCCCCTTTCATGCAGACCTGAGAAGCATGGCTTCCTATTTCATTAAAACAAATAATCTCAGTTCTGGTGTCATTAATAAAAAAGCTTTAATTGAAACCAACTTTAAAAAAGAATTTAAAATGAGCAAACAAAATATATATGTAAATACTGTAAAATCGCAATAAAGTCACAAGGATGTTTTTTCAGAATAGGACATAATTACCACATCGCTGCTCAACACTTCCATGATCAATGTACAATCTAAGGCTAAAAAGGACATTAACTTTGCAGAGTTATCCACAGATGCATCGCAACGCTTCACTCTGCGAGGAAGAATTGTGCATCAGTTCTAGTTGAAAATGCAGTGTTTTGCTCGTCACCATTACTGCTACATGTACCTAAAGGACTAAAAATACAACTGCAGCCTATGTACACGCCAGCTTCTTTTAATATTGATAGCATCAACAACACTGTGCTAATGTCTTACATGATTGTTCTGCAAACACGGGGATCCGGTTTCTCCTTTCTCTCCTTTTGGCCCATCGATTCCCTAAATGGTAAAAACATAATGCTGAGTTTACACATCCAAGGCTTCCAAAAAGGCTATAAGAAGAGAGAAGAATATATTTTTCTCACCTTATCCTGAAGTCTTTATTCAAGCAAAATTCTTATTCGCTTCAGTGGGACCGTTACATGAGGGAAAGGGGTTTTGCCGAAATAAGGTTTTAACATGGGCTCCCTACTGGGACAGCTACTGTTTCCATTGTCTTGCTGAAGCTCAGGGATGGCACAGACTTGTCAGGCTCTGATCCTGCATGTTGTGTTCTGCCTGAGCAGACCCTCCCTGTCATCACTGAGCTGCACTGATTTTCACCCACACGGGGCAGCTTGCACCACTGGCTCCTTAATATTTATGGCTCTGATTCAGCAAAGCAGTTAAGCACATGCTTAACTCTAAGCCCCAAAAAGGGCTGGAAGGGTCTTCAAGAAGTCGTCGAATCCAGGTCCCTCGGCCGAGGCAGGACCAAATAAACTTAGACTATCCCTGACAGGTGTTTGTCTAACCTCTTCTTAAAATCCTCCAATGACGGGGATTTCACAAATTCCCTTGGAAGCTTCCAGAGCTTACCTACCTTTATAGCTAGAAAGTTTTTCCTAATATCTAACCAAAATCTCCCTTGCTGCAGATTAAGTCCATCACTTCTTGTCCTACCTTCAGTGGACACAGAGAACAATTGATCCCCATCTTCTTTATAACAGCCCTCAAAATATTTGAAGACTATCATGTCTCCCCTCAGACTTCTTTTCTCAAGACTAAACAGGCCCAGTTTTTTAAACCTTTTCTCATAGGCCAGGTTTTTTAAACCTTTTATCATTTTTGTTGCTCTCTTCTGGACTCTCTCTTTCCTAAAAAGTGTGGTACCCAGAACTTGACACGTGCCTAAGTCCCATTGACTTCAAATGGCAGTTAAGCACATAATTTTAAGTGCTTTGCCCGGGTCTATGAGAACTATGTTGTTTGGGGACCTGAGAATGTGTTTCTGCAACTTCCACCAAAAACCTCTCTAGACATCACAAATAGTTCCTTAATAAATCAACACAGTTCTGTCCCCTCACGTGAGTTTGCTTCACATTTTCCAAGACCTAGTACATTTTTCAACTTACATTACAGTACTGATGGAAAACAGATTGAAGAACAAGGTACCTTTCGTGACAGCGCTACTCAAGATACAAAACACATAGGTGGAGAAAGCCTAGCATAAGTTTGTACAATAATAATCATATCTTACTGTATGGATTGTGGTATTACTGCTGAAGAAACAACACTGGTGGTGAACATGCAGCTCACTCCTCATGCCCTTTGCTAAAAATGTACCTCTTCTTATTCAGTTAATCACCTTTGTTTTCCATCAGTGAATCATTTCATGTATTCTAAAAATGACTTTAGCTAAGCAATGCCATTTGCAAATATTTCTTCAGCTCCTTGAGAGTTCTGACATATCATACCATTAATATTACTGTTAACAAGGAGAACTAAGCTTATGAGTTAACAGTAATATTGGTTTGATAGGGATATAATTTAAACTAACAAAGCATCTAGATATATAACACACATGTATGGAAACAATATACTGGAGGCAATAAACCCCATGTATATATTGACAGACAGACATACCGGTAGGCCAGACAAGCCCATCTCTCCGATCTCTCCTTTTTGTCCCATTATCCCAGGATTTCCTGGGTCTCCTTTAGATCCCTGCAGGTCACAGAACAGAGCTTTATTAGGAGAAAGGTAGCTCTCTATCTATAGATACAGCTCTATCGATCTATCTAAATATAAAGGAGCAACAGATACCTCCCCCTTTTGCTCCCTCTTCTCCATATTACTTCTTCAGTACACATCAAAACATCCCTTAATATTAAACATTGTAAATACTGATTTTGCAGTGCAGTAGAATTTAATTTAGTGGCTGAAGAGAATGCAGAAATTTAAGATTTACTAAAGAATTTGAGAGAATGTTTCATGAGCTACACAAAACTAATTCAACTTGTGTGGGATCTGAACAGCATCCTGGAAACTGCTAACTGCCCTACCAGAACAGTTATAATGTTATAAAACCATACATCTGGTACCTTTTCTCCATCAACTCCAGGTGTACCAGGCAATCCAAGCTCCCCCTAAAGCAGTACAAACGAATAAAGGTATAACATCAGGTGAAACCAGAAAATAATTTCACAAAAGAACTGGATGTAAAAGTAAATTCTCTTTTTGTACTGAGTCTGACGGCCATCAACTCATGAGCAGCCTGAGGTAGAAAATGGCATCTTTTGATTTCAAGTGAAGTGCCAGGTTTCATTAGTCAAGTAGAATTTGGATTGAACTGGCGGGCAGAGATATACATTATTCTGAACCAATCTAAATATCATTTCCTAGTAAGATACTTTTGTGCATATTTGTTATAAGAAATTATAACTGATTGACTATTATTTATTGCCTATTGATCTTGACCCTGAATGCGGGTGACCATTTCACAAGGAGTGGCTGGTACTGGTGCTGGTACTGTACAATACTAAATATGTGTATGTGAAACACTAAGACACGCTAGGTGTGAGAACATGGCTTCTGATAGGAGAAAACAAGATAAAACCTAGAATTTAGGACTATCAATAGCCAAGCACAGTGCATGCTCACAAGCATTTTCTTTATCAATAGGTGTAATGCAGACTCCACTGAGTTCAGTGGCAAAACTCCCATTGACTTCAGTGGGGCCTGAATTTCACCCCAATGTATACAGGAATGTGTATGGGCTCACTTCCAAGTACAGTATAACACATTCATTCAGACAAGGCCGGCAGAAGAGTGTTGGCCCAGTGATGGAGTGAAAAAAACCAAAAAAACAAATATACTTTTGCATCTAGGTAAAAGGCTTCTGTTGTTCAGAGAGGAGGGGAATTTAGAATGCTCTCTTTCCTGCAGACAGACTCATGAGTTAAAATACCCAGGTTCAGTCCTTTCCTGCCTCCCACCCCTTTGTGATTTGGGAGACATTTCTCCAGTCTTGCTCTAAGATGTCATCACCAGGGGACACATCCCGCCATAGTTCCGCATGGAGAACTCCCATTGATTTCGATAGGAGGTTTGCATGAGGATCGATGTCAGGATGTGGTGAGGGGGTACTGTATACGCTGCATGCCACGAAATACTGTCTGTATAACAGAGGTCAATCCAACCTTTGGTCCTGGAGCTCCTTGAGGGCCTGGTGGCCCTTGGGGACCTGGTGGGCCCTGAAAACACAGCAAAGAAAGATGGCATAAATAGAACTGTCTTGAATATCATTACTAATCCAGCACACATTCACTTCACTCTGGAGATCAGCCATGAGCGCAGCTTCTCATATAGGCTACGTCTACACTTGGAGCCAGGGGTGTGATTCCCAGCTTGAGCTCATCATGCTGGCACGCTAAAAATGGTAGCATACTTGAGGTAGCATGGGCAGCAGCAAACAGTGGCACAGGCTAGCCTCCCTGAGTACGTACCCACAGTATACCCACACAAGCTGGGAATCAGCCCCCCACACACACTCCAAGTGTAGACGTAGCCATAGATTTATAGTAAATATTTTTCTAAATTATCATAGCACAAATGTCCATGACAAGATCAGCTAATATTAAACAGACAAGGCTGTTTCCCACAACACAGGAAATGTTAACTCAAAAAAGACTGTGTCCAATTTGGTGTAGAGGGCCGTGCTAGCACTGAAATACACGTGCTTAAAAGGCACACATTTCTAGATATAAGTAGTTCTGGTCCAAAATCTGCCTTGTTACCTGTGGGATCTTACTTTTTCCATCCCCTCATTACTGGCCAACCTTATGCTGGAAACACATCCAAGAGGAATGGTGCCTACCAATTCAGATGGACAGTAGACTAGATAGGCAAAATTCCCTTATCTATGGCTCAACGTGACCATGATGTTTGAAATCAACCAGCCAATTCAACTCAACTCTACTGGTAGGTGAAACACGAATTCCATTATGCCACATATGACATGATTAAAAAGAAGTAGAAACAGAAAAGTGTACATGAATACTAACAGCAGGAAAACCTGCTAAAAGTTTGCAAGCTCATGCAAACTATTCTTCTTACCAGAGACCCTTGCAAACCAGGAGTTTGAAAACCCTTTGATGGGGATCTATTTTGTCATTTATAAGGGATCCCTAAATGGCACCACATCAGACATCTACCCCTTCAGCTCGAAAACCAACCAGCAACATGTTGCTTTATTCTGAGCTCCTAGTCCCCATGGTTGTACTTCACAAACAAAACAGTTTTTAAGAGGCCTGTTCACTCAGAAGCCATGAGTGGGTAAATAGGAGAAATGGCTGAGATCCCAGCGAATAAGCAGAAGGACGGTAAAGGCCAGGTCAGTGACATTTTAATAATTTACCCCTGAGCATCTCAACATGCAGCACACACAAAACTCAACCGTCTCAGAGACTGTGGGTCATTTTGTTAGTAAACTGAAACTCCAAACGTTTGGTGAAAGCTTTCCAATGATCTCAGTCCACAAATTCCATTCACAATGCCACATGCTGTGCTATTCTGTCCAAGCAACCCATGCAGACATCTGGCATACAGTAATTACCATCAGTTTATGTTTCCCTGCAGCCTGTTATAAAACAATTAAAATGGTTTTCAAATGTGTCTGTAATTAAATATTTATTCTACTCAGCTTCTTTAATCTTTGCTAAATGGCAGCATTAAACATGGTCTCACTCCTTTTCTTGTATAGCAAGTACAGGCTACACAACGGGGGCATAATTTTCCTTTACACGAACTTCAGGAAATTTTCCTTCTGAATACATTGTCTTATTGTTTTCATTTTATAGAACTGACAGAGACAAAGGGGCAAATGGTGCCTTCCTTTACATGTAGATCTTACTATAGTCATGGGTACAGACCAATTTTGGCTCAAGCCACTTATGTGTCATTTACTGAACAAACTACTTCAATCGTCTCTAGCGGGGGGGCTATGCAAAATGTTTGCTGCAAATCCTAAGACTCACCTGATTCAAGGTTTTGTGGTGACTCAAACTTGATTTACATTTGCACATTTTTCAAGGCTTCTGGGTCATGTTTTGTCACTGCACCCAGTCCTTCCACTCCTAGTCAGCACCAGGCTGGGGCCTGCAATCCCTCTGTACTCTCAGCTCCAATATCTTCTGGGGCTGGATGACTACTCCGCCTACAGTCTCTGCTTGGCTGGGGTAAGAACACCTGATTGGGGACTAAGGGAAGCAAACCAAACAGGTCTTCTAGGGACAAACGTGCCCACTTCCCTCTGCATTTCCTCTCCACCCTGCTGCAGTTGAGCAGGAAACCTCTTGTTCCTACTGTTGTGGCTGCTTTAGCCTGGAGCCTTAGCTAATACTTAGTCTAATTGGTCTAGATAATACTTAGTCCTGCCATGAGTGCAAGGGACTGGACTAGATGACCTCTCGAGGTCCCGTCCAGTCCTAGGATTCTATGATACCACAGGCTACGCCTGCATGCTTGACAGGGAACAGAATGGCATCTGACCTCAAACCCGCTCACAGTGACTCAACGTGTTCATGCACCTTAGCCCATATTGTAAACATTAGCAAATCAGGCTGAGGTAGTCTGTGCTGCTTCTGTACATCCATCTAACCAAGCCCTCTCTAGTGCACACATCAGCATGGTGTCTGAACACTGCAAACTCCTAGGAACTCACCTGATGCCCTCTGTCCTCTCACTCAGCCCTCCTGCCAGGCCACCCTTGTTCCTTAACTGTCCTCCTGGGTCAGGAGGAAGCATTGGCCTATCGGCTCCCCATTTCTTCCTAGAGACTGGGTGACCTCTCCATCATTTCCACACATCTCTGGGGGCACTGTGTGGTCATTCCTAAAAAGCTGTGTCTTGGGTGTGGCTATATGGTTAGGGCAACTATGTCCACTGTTTAGGCCCCTGCTCCCCTCTTCTATCTTCTGGAGGGTGTGATGACTCCCCCACTTCCAGTAGAGCAATGAAAACAAGGAAAACACTTCTGCTCCCACTGCCAGCCAGCTCTACTCTGTTGGGATTCTACGAAGCCTCATAATCCTTAGCACAGGTGTTCCCTAGCAATAAACACTAGCAGTTATGGAGCATCTCGGCTTTTCGGTCTCTTTCCCAGCAGCCATGCTAATGATTATGGGGCTTCTCTCAGGCCCAGATCTATGGTGATCAGTGGGGAAGGAGTAGCTTGAGGAAAGAGAGGGTCCTGTGTGGACAATGTGAGGTTCAACCTTCCTAATTATCTTGCAATTCCTGCTCATCAATCTGGAAGCTCCCGATCACTGCATCAACCAAACTCTGCAGGGTGAACTAACTTCCCCAAGCTACTCTAGCATATGTTTCAAGATCAGCTCTCTCACAGATTCACTGGATTTCAATTGGTGCAGTAATCTCAGCTGGTTAATTCAATTCCAGTTAAGAACAGGAGCACACAACAAATTATCATCATCATCTTACCTTGAGTGCATCCAGGATTCTGCCATCATAGTCAATTATTACAGTATCTCCCTGTTCGCCCTTCAGGCCAGGTGGACCCTGGAGACAACGGCAAATTGCAAACTTTGTGATAACAACGGTGGTGTTAGCCCCTGAAAAGTGGGCAGCATGAAAACAACAGCTAGAACAGGGATAAGTACTATTTTGGACCCTAGACACTTTTGTATTTGTCTCCATATAAATATTACACATGCAATCGATACAAGAATGTAGCTATACAGAGCAAATTCTGAAAGGACCTGGAAGTATACATTGAGTGACAGGCAGAATGTAATAACCTAAGCTGGAATTTGACTGGTACAACCTCATTCTTATGAAAAAAAGTCATGGGATCTTTCAGTGACAGCAAGCGGTCAGCACCTCTCTGAGGTCAATAGTAAAACTGGATGCAACTTAACTGACTTCACGGGAGCTATCTGCATTAATTTGGCTCAATATCTATATGGTGATTTATTTTAATATGATCCATCTTCCTTATTATTCTTATACAGTACTGAACCCTTCAACTATACAGCAACAGATGACAGACAGAGTTGGATGGAGGAAACTGACCCATGTTAAGGAGAATACAAGAATCTAAATTAGTGAAGCAAAAACAAACACTCATATACCCTTGGTCCAATGGGTCCATCCCCTCCTCTCTCACCAGGATCACCCTGAAAATGAACATCACATTTATTAGTCAGAAATAATAAGGAAAGTCAGAAGTATTATGAAAAAAGTCATTTACTGCATGACAGTCAAATACTTATTTTAGGTAAAAGTATAGTCTCAATAAGAAACTCCAACTGGTCAAGGACAAATGGATTTTAGATATTTAGACGCATATGCCTTGCTAAAATAACCTTAAAATAATCTAGCTGGCAACAAAAGAACCCAGCCTGATCAGATATAAGACGGCAAAACCATTTATACAGATTTGACCTCCCACTGAATATATTTACAAGTCACAAAGTGATGCCGTTTCAATAGCTAAGCATTTAAACCCTGAAAGTAAAAGTTCCTAATAGAGTGATACCAGCTTGAAGCAGAAGCACCAGCAAGCACAAACCAGCACTGCTCCTATGGATTTAGAAGTAGAATGGCCAAGAGCGGTCTCCCGGTTTTGAATAGTTTCATGCATGACAGGAGCATGACTGCTCTGAGCATAAACATACTTGGATGCAGATTCCATTAAAGCAAAAGCAACTGTAGAGAAACAGCTGATCGTGAAGGGCGGACCTGTTCTGTTGTCACTGCTCAATACAGCTAGGTCATGTTGGTGCATTTCTTTTCAATTGTGAAGAAAAAGTAAAATTGTGAGACACACTAACACTAGCTATGTAGAATGGATATAGTATTAATCAACACACGCGATGTAGAGGACAGAACTTACAGATTTCTTGCAAGATAATGCAGCCAAAAATGTCAGAAAGTGGTGATTTGGGAACTCTATTCTCGGTCTCAACCCACCATGGAAAGGTAAAATGCTAGTGAAAATTTACAGGCTATGTTTTGTTTTTTGCCATTTTAATGCAATTTTTAGAAAAAAATGTTTGAAACTCTTGTCAAACTGAAACCCACTGCCTCAATGCTGTGTGACCATCTTCCAGCTTAATGAACCTGTCTTTTATTTACCTTTGATCCTGGCAATCCATCTAATCCTTTCTCTCCTTTGGGACCTGTGCTTCCTTGCTCTCCCTGAAAATAAGATAATTCACACTGAACCTTACCAGGTATGAACTTTGAAGCCAAAACATCTTAAGTCTAACTTGATAGGACAGAAAGCAATTTTCTTAAGGTTACAGTGCTTTTGCCTTATCTTAAACTTCTACACAGATGCCGGAATTATCAAAGCTTTGCTTTTATTCTAAAATGTCTTCAAGTGCTGCCCGTGCCCAAAAGGGAATTTGAAAACTAAAATGAAGCTTTCGGGCTTTCAAACGCAGGAGTGGAGGACACGTTCACCAGCAAACCTTGTCCCAAAGTGGCAGCCACCATGAACATTTAGGCCCTACAATGGGAGACTTCCATGGAACAGAGTCTGCTATACTTTTGAAGTGAAGTTATTATAAGGACCACACACATCCTGAATTTCCAGGTCCGGGCAATTCCCACTGGCTTTGCCTGATTCAGTTCTGCAAGATCAGGTTCTAAATGACAACTTGCAGCGTATGTCTGCACCACAATCACAAGTGTCATTTAATTAATGTAATAATGTGTGTTCTGACTTGCAGGGCTAGCCAGTGCTGAAGCTTGTGCAGCTGCAGCGTCACTGCTCAGGTACCCACGCTAGCTAGATACGCCCCTCGATGGCCGTGGAGACAAACCCTGTGTTATCATTTAGTTAGTGACTGTCAACACTTTCAAGTCAACAGATAACAAATGACAAGTGAAAATATTTGGTATTGGCATTAATACCCTAGGCGTATAGATTACACGTCTATTGTTCCTCTCTTTGTTCTTTTTAGTTTCAGATCAAAAGTGTCTGTTTATGGCTCTCTGCTTTAGGAGCAATCTGCATTGACTGTGATATCTGGCCAGCAACAGGTACCAGATGGTAAAAATAGCCACCAGGCAGACAGATATAGAGCTGAAATTTACCTTAGGCCCTTGAAGCCCTGGCTGTCCTGGGGTCCCATCATCACCCTGGTAAAATAAAAATATACATAGAGTGTCTATCAAACCGTGAAAATACACAGGGGTCAATAGGCCAGCCAATGTTACCATGGGGTAAGAGCTCAATTATACTTATCACCATAACTCTGATGCGCTCTTGGGATAGGGCCAGATTTACAGGGTTTTTAGGCGCCAATTGGGATTTACATAAGAACCTATGCAGGTTAAGTGCCTAACTCTGATTGGAAGTCAAGAGGCCTTTGCAAATCTGGCCCATAATATACATGAAGATTCTGCCTGCATTTCGGAAATCGAATGCATTATATTCACTAAGAATTCTAACTTGTCAAAAAGGAGATTCACAGGTTTAGCTAGTCACTTGCTTTCATTGTTACATTTAAATTAAAGATTGTTCATGAGAATGACAGAGTTTAACCCTTATATATTGAAGATTCGGAGCCAAATTCTGCCCAGAAACACACAAGCCCTTGATTGCCTTAAGGGAAGTAAGGATGGAATAAGGCATGAGCCTTTTGGAGTTTTGGTTTCAGTTCTCTGGGAGACATTGATATAGAACAGACTTGGGCACCAATATAAAAACTGGATAGGCAGGATTGCTCATGCAAGGCTCCCTGGTCTTCAGTGGGCTACTCAGAGCAACCGTTTGTCCTCCTCGATGAAAGGCCAGTCTCTTGTAGAAGAGCAGATGTGTGTTTGTGAGCTGCTCTCCTTCTTGCCAGAGAGTATACTTTCTCCAAACACAGAGATTATGTCCAGTGGGCTCCGCTCCTCAGAGTACGGTGATGTTTGTTTGGTCAGTCCTACGAGAGATTCAGATTGACCAGTGCTGGCCTGATGGAGAGCAGCAGTCTCAAAAATTCACCCATTTTATTTTCAATTAATTCAGCAAAAGGGCTCACACCTTCAGCCTTGTGTGGCATTTTGGCTGTTTTATTCTTTGTTAGGGTTACCATACGTTTGTATTTTCCCGGACATGTCCGGCTTTTTAGTTCTTAAATCGCCATCTGGGAGGAATTTTTAAATATCTAAAAATGTCCGGGAAAATACGGACATATGGTAACCCTAAGTCCAAAGTCCCGGGGCTAGCGGTGCTTCCTGGGGCAGCTCCCGGCGCCCGCCCGCCAGCGGGAGCCTGCAGTGTGGGCGGCCCCAGGCACAGAGGCGGAGGAGGTCTCTGTGTGCTGCACTGGCTCCTTCCTGCCCAATCAGAGCTGCGGGGGAAGGGCTTGCAGGGGCTGGCAGCGGGCAGAGAGCCCTCCGCTCCTCCCCCACAACCCGACCCGACCCTAGGAGCCAGAGGGACCTGCCGGATGCTTCCCGGGAGCCGCCCCAGGTAAGCATCACAGAGACTCCCAACCTCACCCCCTGGCAGGTCACTCTGGCTCTTAGGGTCAGGACAGGTCAGGTTGGGGGGGGGGGGGTGGAGGGCTCTCTGCGGCTCCGGCAGCTCCCATTGGTGCTTTCCCCAGCCAATGGGAGCCATGGAGCTCGCGCTTGTGACGGGCACAGCACATGGAGACCCCTCGGCTGCCCCTGATCCTAGGAGCCAGAGGGACCTGCGGCAGGAGGGGTGAGTAGATGAGCGGAGGGGTGTGTGAAAAGGCCAGTGGTGGGCAGCGGGGGTTGAGGAGATGAGCAGCAAGGGAGCCAGCAGCGGGTGGGTGGGCGGGGGTGAGGAGGCAAGAAGCAGCAAGCCAATGGCAGGCGGGGGTTCTCAGGGCAGGCATGGGGGTTTCTGACAGGGGAGCAAGGAGGTGAGTGGCAGGTGGTAGGTGAACGGTGGGTGGGGGACTGAGGAGGGACGCAGCAAGCCAGCGGTGGGCCAGGGGGTGAGGAGGGGTGTGGTGGCGGGGCAGAGCGGGGAGGGGTGGGGCAGAGTGGGGGCGGAGCATGGGAGGAGCGGGGGTGGACTCTGGGCGGGGCCGACACCCCCGTGGAGTGTCCTCTTTTTTGAATGTTCAAATATGGTAACCCTATTCGTTGTTGACGAGGCTAATGTAATTACTGCTTCTGGGCTGATCACCATAATGAAAAAGATGCTGATGGCACAACAATGTCTATTTCAAGGTCACAGAATTGCTATTGTTTAATTGAACATATGCTAGAAATCCTGAAGAATATAAAGTGTGAATCAGTGCAATCAACCATGACTAGAGCCTTGCTCAACCTTGTTTCTGCAAATGGCTCATTGTGTGTGATGAACATCTTTTTTTTTTTAAAGAAAGAAGAATCAGTATCTTACCTTTCTCCCTGGAAAACCAGGCTCACCCTTCAAAAACAAAACACAAAGGAAGGGAAATAAGAGCGAGATACCATGAAATATAGTAATGAGTCATATTCATTTTTAAAATTATCAGTTGAAGTGGAAATTTTGTTCTACTATTGATCTTCATTATCTTCTCCTGAAATGCCAAAAAATCCAGTGTGCCTACAGTATGCTAAAATTAAAAAAGCAAATTCCCCCTCCTCATTCTAAATTTCATTGTTTTACTTCTTTAACAATTAGCATACTTTCTGTCCAGAAGATGCAATAAAAAAATAACTTTTCGGTTTCCAGATAATGGCCAATTTGATTCCCTGGAATTCTTAGATGCAATTGATGAAGAGGAGATCACATCAAACTGAAAAAATGTGTGCAACCCTGCCCAGGCACATAGAGGCATTCTGAAGATTCTTGCCTTGTTAATATTAGAGGTATAATAAACTATTTACCACCTACCTTTAGTCCTGAAGGTCCCCTTACACCCTGTTAAAAGTAAAATTTATCAGTATATTTATTTGGAAATAAAAGCATAACAGGATTTAAAAATATACAGCTATAAATGTTTACAGCTCTGTAGAAAATGGCGAGGATGCCTCTGTCTGTTTTCGGTTCTGTATGAACATTACTACAGACAAACATTCTCAGTATCAATGCACTTTACCCCACAAATAATAAAGAAAATGCTCTCTAAAGATTTCTATTTTATGTATGAAAAATGTCCCATAAATTGTTTTGGAATCTGACTCAGTACCATAACTCCGGGCTAGACCGTCGCATAAAACAAATAATTGAAATGTTACAGGTGGACTTGTAGAGCTTGGTTATGTGGCTATTTTATATGTTCCATAGTGGGGCTCAAAAATATGCTCAACGGAGGATGTCCACAACATCAATGCTTTCCAAAAATCTGCGGGTGGGGAAGCAGGTGATTGGTTAGTAAAGCAGCATTAGAGTAGTTTGTAAATATAGCTGTTTATGAGATAATATAGACTAGATTCCAGGCGCTGGGGCGAATTCATCCCTGACATAAACAGGCACAACTCCCATGATCTATTTTCACATTGTGAGTCAGCAACACTAGTTATTTAGAGTGGGTTTCAGGATCTTAACAGACAGGTTTCCAAGAGGCTATCCTATGCGAGGAAGAGGAAAACAGTCCAAAGGGTGTTAGAACAACTGTACCTAGCTGGGAAGGAAGTCCCTTCACTCCATGGTTTGAGAAGATGAATTTAGAGCTGTTTGAGTCATTGTAACAGTTGGAAATGAACTACCATCACCACAGAATCATAGAAATGTCGGGCAGAAAAGGACCTCAGGAGGTTATCTAGTCCAGCCCTCTGCTCTGAGGCAGGACCAAGTAAACCTAGACCATCCTTGATGTTTGTCTAACCTGTTCTTAACCCCTCCCCCATGATAGGGATTCCACAACGTCCCTTGGAAGCCTATTCCAAAGATAAATTACTCTTATAGTTAGAAAGCTTTTCTGAATATCTAGACTAAATCTTCTTTGCTACAGATTAAGCCAGTTATTTCTTGTCCTACCTTCAGTGGACATGGAGAACAATTGATCCCCATCCTCTTTATAACAGCCCTTAACATATTTGAAGTGTTATCAGGTCCCCCCTCAGTCTTCTTTTCTCAAGACAAAACACACCCAGTTTAAAAAAAAAGAAGTCTTCAGGTTTTTTAAACCTTTTATCAATTTTGTTGCTCTCCTCTTGACTATCTCCAATTTGTCCACATCTTTCCCAAAGTGTGGTGCCTAGAATTGGACACAGTGCTCCAACTGAGGTCTCACCAGTGCCAAGTAGAGCAGGACAATTACTTCCCATGTCTTACATACAACACTCCTGTTAACGTACCTCAGAATGATATTAGCCTTTTTCACAACTGCATTCCATTTTTGACTCAATTTGTGATTCACTAAACCCCCCAAGAGCCTTTTCCACAGTACTACCACCTAGCTAGTGTTTCCCCATTTTGTAGTTGCACACGACCTTACCCACTCCACTGTGGGTGATACCTATTCTAAACCAAACGTATCCAAGTAGATTCGGCAAAGATCTTGCAGCACTCTCTAGGATGGTCCTCTGGGGCCATCTTTTCCTGTATCTCCAGGGGGCCCTCTCTCTCTTCCATATCTTCTTTTGTCTGCTGACAATAAATTCTTCACAGTCTTCACTGTGATTTCTCTGCTTTTTCTCCTGCTTCTACTTGGGATACCCAGCATAATTTTTTTCTGTGGTTCTTTGCCCAACTTTCAGATGCTCCACTGCCTTGCTGAGTGATCTTGCTTGTTGTTGCATATGACAAAGTAGGTAATCCATAGATGTAAAATAAAATAAAAAATAAAAAACAAAAAACAAAACCTAATATTTTTTAATGCTACAAAGGTGTAATACTTCATGGCCTTCCACATGGTTCAATACTCAGAACTTTTTCTTCTCTCAACCTTCTTTTCTTGGTTTGAGAAAGGTGTAGGAAAACAAGTGAAAATAATCCACATTTACCAACGGTGTCCCTTAAGAATTAACCCTCCCCCTGAAAAATATAAACTTTGTCCTAGGGGAAGTGGGTGGCACCAATGAATCATCATCTGTCAGCCAGATTCTGTTCCCAAATTTTCACAATTCGATCCTTGTGAAACTCAGCTTGGCATCGTAGCTGCAATGACGCCAGTAAGTAGCATTAAGAACGTTTTCCCCAATTAAAAACAAAAGCTCAGCGGAAATAAAAACTACCCCAAAATTCACAAAAGGCTTCCTTGACTCATTAGAATCCAAATTTTGGAAGTGTGGGACATCACAGAGGAGGCAGGGGTGGGGAAAGTGGGGGCAAAGGAGCTTTATGGAAGAGCTATAAGAAGAGAGACTCACCTCTTTTCTTTATGGTGATGCAGGGTCTTATGGTGCATCTGAGAGGGCTGAAGTATCAAGGCAGTATCTGATTGCTTCAGTTTCCTGTACAACTTTCTAAGCTCAACAATTGTCCATCTCTGGTCATGTGTAGCTTAGCGTAATAGCGCTGTACTTTTTAATTAGCAAGCAATGGCACAAACAAAATAATTTGCTCTATGTGGTTATGGAGGGGAGTAAATAGGACACCCAAGCCAAAAACTACATGCACTTCTGAGCTAAGCAAACAGTCCACACTAGGGAAGCATAATTAATCTGTTAGTGCTGACACTAAACACGGCAGGAAGAATACTACTAACCATCACTCCAGCTTCCCCCGGCTCTCCTTTTAAGCCCTGGGGGAAAGAAGTTAATCAAGTCAGTGAAGTTGATTACAGATATTTGCACCAAAACCCTTCATCCTCCAAAAAGTTAAAAAATAATTACTGAGAGGTTCATTAATTTTACATTCTGATTTTTAAAAAAAATGAATTACCAATGAGTTGGAGATTTGCAATGGGATGGGTGAAGGTTACTCATCAGGGAGGAAATAAACTTTGCTTTTTTATAAATTTTAAAAAATATCCTGACTTCTGATTTTCTGCTCAGAATACTACACAACCTCCTTCTCCCCATACTTCCCATCTTTAGCCCACAACTTTTCCGGGATAATTACCATAATTTCACTGATTGTGAAGCTACCATTTCTCTAACAACCGGACAGTTATAGAGAATTAAAGACATTTGTCAGGTTGCATCCAGAGGAATCATTAGAAGCAGCTCTGAGGCCACCGATGGTGACTATTCTCCTCCAGTTGTGATAGGGAAAGAGAAACTCAAACTTTGTGGGCTAAATCCTGCCCTCTGCTAAAAGCCTAGCGGTGGTGAGCACTGCTAATAACCAGAGCCAGTGTGCTGGCACCATGCAGGATGGGCCCTGTGGGCAAGCAGCCATGCTGCAGGGTAGGGTACACACTTTTGACCTCTTTAACGAGAAACACACATCCCAGCTAGCAAGTGCTGGAGACCCTGGGGCCTGGTCAGACACCCCAGCTGCCAGACCTAGCCTCCTGGCAGCCACAGTTTATTGACCTATGTCATTGCTCCCTTTCCTAATGATCTCAAGTGCTAGGTGAGAATCCTATCCTGATGCAGCATCACAGGGCGGGGAAAGGCTCCTTATATCCCCTTCCCCTACTAGTACCTCCACATGGCCCAGACAGGCACGGCCCTGTGCCAGGTGGCTCCCAGATGAAGTACACTGTGGGCATTCTTAGAGAGCACCCATTCTGTTTTACAATGTGAATACTCTGTATTCTTCATTCCTTACAGGGAGGCCTTGTGGTCCCCTGGGGCCATCTTTTCCTGTATCTCCAGGGGGACCCCTTGCACCCGGTGGTCCTGGGGGACCCGGTGGGCCAGCAGCTCCATCTTGACCTTGATCACCCTGTAGGAAGTTCAGACAAACATTGTGATGTGGAAAAAAACCAACACAAGTGCTGACAGCAAACTAACTACACTGAGTAGGAGAGAAACCAGCAGGGGGCATGCCAGGGGGATAGGTCTTTCTGATAGCACCACCAAAACTGTTTGAATGGCTTGTCCCATAGTGATGGTTAAGATTTGAAGACAGCCAGTTATGGTGCTTGTGCGCACATGTGGGTGAGGAGAGCTCTTCCATGTGGATCATGGATCACAGCTCACCCTAGCTTTAATGCATGGTGACAATAAAGCAAATTTGACTGGATGATTTTTTAAGGTGAATGCCCTGGATACAGCCTTATAGTAAAGGATTACAGCATCCTGGAAGAATGGTCCCAAACACTGCATGGGGACACTGCATGATTTGGGTGAAATTACTGTAGGCTACTGAAAGGTTTTGTTTGGTTAAATAAGAGACAGCAGAGAGAACCTGTGAAAAGACTCAAATTCCTCCAAAGTCCGCAAGAGCACCATGGCATGCAGGGGTGTGTTTAATTAGAAGGCTACAGCTGTAGGTCAAAATTCTCTGTTCAGATCTGCCAAGCAGTTCTCATTTCTGCTATATGCACAAAGCTGATGGTTTCTGCACATATCCCAGAGAAGTTTGCCCCGTAGAGATTTATTGGCATGCAGGGTACCTTCTAGCTTTGCGGCTGACCAACTAAGTTAAATAATTGGGATCATGGCCAAGATTTTCAAAACTGGGTGTCTAATTTAGGCTCCATAGTTAGGCACCTGAATAACCTGATTTTCAGATGTGCCGAGTACTCAGTACTCCCTTTGATCTGACCCATATTTTTCCAAAGACGATCCCAATGGATTTTAACACTGAATGTCCCAATCATGCAGTACCTATTCAGACAAGACTCCCAATGGGCCATTAAGGTCTTTTTTTCCCAATTTTTATTGATCCCTTATTCAGGGTTTTGACCCACACCTTCCAGCAGGAGTTTTGTCTGAGTGAGTTGTGCAGGACTTAGCCTCATAGCAAATATGAACATAGAAAACACTAGTTAAACATTAACGCCTGAATATTAAATCACATACTTGATATCATGCCTACTTCAAGCATGGTTGTACTACCACCATTTAGTAGATAATAAAGGAATCAAAACATATTTAATGACATCCCTCTAGTACGGTGGTTCTCAACCTATTTGCCACTGTGGGCCGCATCCAATACTACCTCTATGGCCCTGAGGATGTCACATGGGCCACAGCTCTTTGCTGATTGGGCCGCAAGTGGCCACAGGTTGAGAACCACTGCTCTAGTACAACTGAAATGTAATGATATTAAAATGCTCCACTTGCACCATACTTTGCCAGTAGATCAAGAAAAGATGAGTCTACGTCTCTACTTGCAATTTTAACACTAAAGAATTTAGTAGTGTACACTTGTTTCAGTTAAACAGCCAGAAAAGCTTGGTCAGAAGGTGGAGCACTCCTGATCTCAGAATGAATTTCACTACTCAGATGACCAGCTACTGATCCCCTGGTGAACTCCAATAGCCCAGCCTTTAGGATGCAAGCTGGTTGTTCTGACATGTGGAGTTAACAGTAAAAATCCCCATGAAAAGACTGAATCATAACTCTTAACAGCATCCGGACAGAATACCAATCTGAACAACACAGGAACAGAATTGTGTTTAATATGGTCCACCCACAAATCAGGGACCAGGGTGGGATTTTCAGAAGTGTCTATGTGAATTGGGAGCACAAAGCCTATTGCCATTCAATGTGATTCATTCTCCTAAATCACTCAGAGACTTGAAAATTCCACTGCAAAGCCGGAAGACTCTACCCAATTTTGTCTCAGCCAGGAAATCTCCCAATGAATTTTGCCTAAGTAAAAATTCAAGTTAGGACTTGCGGATTTGGACTGATCTATTTCATTGTGCGATTACTACTATTATTCATATGGTACAAGTATAGCATATAGAACTATCCTTATCCCCGCCTCCCCCCATGACTCACACAAAGAGCCAGACCCTCAAGGCCTTGGTTTTCACTCCTTCCTTACATAGGCAGAACTCCCACTACGTTCACATGGAATTTTGGTTGAGTTAAAAACTGAGCAGGACTCTCAGGATTTGGTTCATCGTATTTATGACTTACAATGGCAATAAGGTGCTATTAGCTAATAAGGAAACATAATTCAGACAGAAGCACAGCAAGCCAGAAGATGTAGATTCAACACATCTACCTTAAGGATTCGTCGGCTAAAGACATGCTGGTCATTAGAGAGAAATCCATGATTGAGGCGAGGGAAAACCATCTAGCCAGGTGAGTGAAACGTAGAGCGTGAAAGATCAAGAAGTCAAGACAAAGGTTACAGCATGGGAGTGATTTTTAAAAGGTTCAGTTAATATTATCTAACAAAGTAACTTCACCAAGGAATAAAGAAATGACACTGGAGGAAATAACCAGGAAAGAGAAATAGTGAGAGCTTTAAGGTCATTGATTCAAGTGGAGGCTTTGTCAGTAGCAAACACACACATGAGAGCCAAGTCTTTTCATTAGCTTAATGCAGAGGAGGGAATTCAGAGCTGGCAGGGTACAGAAGGTTCCCACATGCCAGAGTTTCACTATACAATAAATACATTATTCCAACAAGACACAATGGAAGATATAGCCCACTGGAAGATATCCCCCCATCTCAAGATAGCAAATATATTATATTTCCTCAGTAGATATAATGAATATTAATTCAGTCATCTGCCCCCAACTCACTTATAAATCTCACAAAATTTAGTGGATGAAAAACAATCCAATCAAGCAAATGTCATCATTCATTGCTGCTTTTTTTAAAGCTGGCATCTGTAGAGAAGTGCGAGAGACATTTAATTTCCGAAGAGACAAGGTGCGTGAGGTAATATCTTTTATTGGACTAACTACTGTTGGTGAAAGAGCCAAGTTTTGATTTCCACAGAAGTTGGTCCAATAAAAGATATTGCCTCACCCACCTTCTCTCTGATATCCTGGGCCAAACACAGCTAAAATAATGCTGCAAACATTTCATTTCTTAAGAGCGCTCTTTTTTTTTTAGATTCATGTGCATGAAACTTTAACAAAATATCGTGAGCTGAACGTAGTTGTATATGACAGATTTGTGTTTTATCTTTCTATCGGCAATTTGAGTTTGGCGAGTACAGATCACCTAGTTTTCCCTTCTTGAGAGAAGAGCAAGGGATACTATTCCAACTTCCGTCTCAACTACAGACTGTGGGAACATTTTTGTCAGCTTAACCATGCAGCCTGTTGCTTGCCAGTGTCTGTTTCTATAATTTCCCAAGGTACCAGAGGGATATAACACACATTATCAATAACATCTTTCTTCAAGGAGCACTGACAATGCTGCGGACAAGTGCTGAACACTTAACTGAAGGTGGAAGTGCTCGGTTATTGGCAGCTGAGTGGTATGAGACGGAGTTGCACAGTTCTTGACACCTTCATGACATGTCCAGATGATAAGTCCTGTCTCCTAAACTGCTAAGCCAATATGATGTCAATTAAGTTATCATCAACTAGGCTGTTATCTCCTGACAGGGAAGCGGCTTAGTAATTTTTGGCAAAGCTTACAACTTTTCCTTTAACTTTCCCTTAACCTGACGTCCTCCGATGACTCCCACTGTAGTATCTTTTGCCCTGCTGCTAGGAAGTCTATTACTTGGGCCAGTCAGTAATGCATACACAAAAAGCATAACGTTTTTTCCTTCCCAAGAACAAAGCATGTCGCTCTGGCCACACAAAACAAATCTCTGCTGGCCTAAACATTCCCAAGTCCATCACTTGCTTAAGTGTAAGTCACTTGTCTACATATGTGTATTGTCAGAAAAAATGAGATCATATGATGTGAGACAATCTATAAATCTAGAGTGTATAAAATGGGGGCTTGAGTAGAGAGAATAACCATACCTTTGGGAAATAGAACTACATATTTAAGTGGTGGATAATAAATTCCCTATGGTAATATCCGGCTGAGGCCAGTTCATCTCTCACAATATAATGCTGGGGTCCAACATGAGATGAATATCTACTGTTCATCTCTCTCAGTAAATAAATGAAAGAAAAGTTCACAGCTAAAGTTATTGATCCTGAAAAGACTTATGCATACGAGTAGCACTACTAAGGATAGTTACTCGCACGTGTAAGTGTTTGCAGAATTGGCCACTCAGTTCTCAAAAATTAGCACATAATACCTGTATAAGGTAACTATGTGAGCAAGAGTTACATCCATTTATGCAATTGTGTGTTTTGGGCACACATTTTACATAGGTGCCAGTTATAGAAAATTAAGCCCTAATAAAGTTTATGACACCCAAGAACAGAAATAGAGTGCATAGCAATGAATTTTAGTAGTTATTCTTTATCTGCGTTGATCTCCTTTTCATTGTTTGTTTTCTCGAGAATATTCATGAGTATTTATTTTTTTCTAGTCTTTCCATACTCAACATAGTGATATTATGTTTGTATTAAGCTTTGCATTAAATAGGTCCTTTCCCCAGCCATGCTATTTTACAGATCAGGCTCTTATTGGATACATTACCAGTTATTTATCCTTTTTGATTATTATTACCAATTATTTATTCTATCTGATTCTTTATTCTTTTTGATTCTCATCACACAGAGCTGTGACACAGCTTCTTCTATCAGCTAGGAAACAACTTTAGGAAATAAAGCTACCACTGAGACAGCAGAGATAATACAGATTGAAAAGCGACAAAGAGTCCTGTGGTACCTTATAGACTAACAGACGTATTGGAGCATAAGCTTTCGTGGGTGAATACTCACTTTGTCAGATGCATGCAGTAGAAATTACTTGCCTCTGGAAATTCCACTACATGCATCTGACGAAGTGGGTATTCACCCACGAAAGCTTATGCTCCAATACGTCTGTTAGTCTATAAGGTACCACAGGACTCTGTCGCTTTTTACAGATCCAGACTAACACAGCTACCCCTCTGATACAATACAGACTAAGTTATGGAAACAGAACTACTCTAGGCCAGATGGTATCAAAGGACAGTATGTTTTAGGGACAGGAACAGAGATGCTGAGCAGTGAGTAAGTGCTTTAGAAACCCAGACACATCTGATTTATTTGTGAACCACAAACTTTTAGCACCAGAATCTGATTGCTTAACTGCTGAGGCCCCAGAGCCAGGGATTCCCCAGGGACACAACACATTGAGAAATTGGGGCACAAACATATTTCATAACATGGACGCTTCTGAATGCACATTGTTTTTACATGTAATTGACAACATCTGTGCATTGTTTTCAGCCTATTTTTCGTTATATAAGACAACTGCTGCACAATCACTCAGGAGGTTTTGTATTTAATCCACCACCGTGACACTCCAGGAAAAAGCAGAGCAACTCATTGTAGAGTCAAACCTCGTCAATCACTAGACTCCTTTGTGTTTTTCTCTTGTCAGACAGGATCTCCTTGTTTGTTTGTTTGTTTGTTTGGCACTTTTTTAATCTAGCAGAAAAAAGCATAATGAGATCCAATGATTGGAGGATGAAGGTAGACAAATTCAGACTAGCCAGAAGGTGCAATTTTTAACACTGCCGGTAACTAACCACTGGAACAAGTTACCCAGGTTTGTGGTGGATTCTTCATCACTTGAAGCCTTTAAGACAAGAGCGGCTATCTTCCTACAACATATACTATAGTGCAAAGAGAAGCTATGGGGTGGATGCCAACGTTACTAGGTAAGGTTCTCCAGCCTGTGTTCTGTAGGAGGTCAGACAATGGTCATAGTAGTCCCTTCTGGCCTTAATAATAATCTCTTCTGTAATTCACATAGGCCCTGATCTTGCATTGTGATCCGTGCAGGCCATTATGGGTCTCTATTTGGACAGACTGGTGTTTCTGTTCAGAGCCACAGAGTTCATAATCTGGAATCAGGGTCAAAGGGTAGAAACCACATCCAGCACAAGGCTCACACCCCATTTAGACCATATTTTGAGGACTTGGGTGGGAATTTAAATGGTGCCTAAGCCTGGTGCTGACCCTCTACACAGGGGTGAACTTCATCCAAAGAGAAAAGGGACAAATCTTGGAATCCAAATCTGCTCTAGGTGTTTTAAAGATGGCGGGTTAAGCATTTCAAAAGGACCGAAGTAACTTAGGAGCCTAAATCTCCATTTAAAAGTCAATGAAACTTCAACTTGGGCACTTAGGAGCCACTTTTGAAAAATGAGACAACCTCCCAACTGATTTAGGAGCCTTTGAAAATTTTACCCTGAATTGTCAGTTTACCTCAGTCACTGTGACACCAGGTAGGGTTATAAAATGACATCCAACCGTAGGAGACTGATTCTGCTGAATGCCGAGTGCCACAGCACCTTGTCAGAAGAAGCCCTAAACATTTTAGCTCTGATTCAGAACTTTCAGTAAACATTTAACAAGCGATTATCTCTGCACCACGTCAAATAAAGCAAAATATTCCTCCTGAGGATGAGAAAAAAACCCAAAGATCATTTCTACATCTCTTTCCTGTCACACATGGCCAGTAAGTGTATTCCTGGTAACCTGGTCTCACCTCTGAGTTATACAGGAGGAGTTTATATAATTTTTAGGGCTGTCAAGAGATTAAAAAAATTAACCGTGATTAATCGCACTGTTAAACAATAGTAGAATACCATTTATTTAAATATCTTTGGGTGTTTTCTACATTTTCAAATATATTGATTTCAATTACAACACAGAATACAAAGTGTACAATGCTCACTTTATATTTATTTTTGATTATAAGTATTTGCACTGTAAAAAAACAAAAGAAATAGTTTTTTTCAATTCACCTAATACAAGTACTGTAGTGCAATCTCTTTATCATGAAAGTTGAACTTACCAATGTAGAATTGTGTACAAGAAACCTGCATTCAAAAATAAAACAATGTAAAATTTGAGAGCCTGCAAGTCCACTCAGTCCTACTTCTCGTTCATCCAATGTTGCACGCTTCCTGTTTACAATGTCACCTGAAAGTGAGAACAGGTGTTCTCATGGCACTGTTGTAGCCGGTGTTGCAAGATATTTACGTGCCAGATGTGCTAAAGATTCATATGTCCCTTCATGATTCAACCACCATTCCAGGGGACATGCATCCATGCTGATGAAGGGTTCTGCTCGATAAGAATCAAAAGCAGTTGCATGTTGATTTTCATTATCTGAGTCAGATGCCACCAGCAGAAGGTTGATTTTCTTTTTTGGTGGTTCGGGTCTGTAGTTTCCGAATTGGAGTGTTGCTCTTTTAAGACATCTGAAAGCATGCGCCACACCTCGTCCCTCTCAGATTTTGGAAGGCACTTCAGATTCTTACACCTTGGGTTGAGTGCTGTAGCTATCTTTAGAAATCTCATATTGGTACCTTCTTTGTGTTTTGTGAAATCTGCAGCGAAAGTGTTCTTAAAATGAACAACATGTGTTGGGTCATCATCCGAGATTCTGTAACATGAAATATATGGCAGAATGCGGGTAAAACAGAGCAGGAGACATATAATTCTCCCCCAAGGAGTTCAGTCACAAATTTAATTAATGCATTATTTTTTTAATGAGCGTCATCAGCATGGAAGCATGTCCTCAGAATGGTGGCCGGAGCATGAAGGGGCATACGAATGTTTAGCATATCCAGCACATAAATACCTTGCAATGTTAGCTACAAAAGTGGCATGCAAATGCCTGTTCTCACTTTCTGGTAACATTGTAAATAAGAAGATGGCAGTATTATCTCCTGTAAATGTAAACAAACTTGTTTGTCTTAGAGATTGGCTGAACAAGAAGTAGGACTGAGCGGACTCCGTAGGCTCTAAAGTTTTACACTGTTTTGGTTTTGAGTGCAATTATGCATTTTCACAACAAAGGGATTGCACTACAGTACTTGTATGAGGTGAATTGAAAAATACTATTTCTTTTGTTTATCATTTTTTCAGGGCAAATATTTGTAATAAGAAATAATATACACTGATTTCAAATAACACAGAGAATTTAATATATTTGAAAATATAGAAAAACATCCAAAATATTTAATAAATTTAAATTGGTATCCGATTGTTTAACAGTGCGATTTAAACTGATTAATCATGATTAATTTTTTTAGTCGCGATTAATTTTGAGTTAATCACATGAGTTAACGGGGATTAATTGACAGCCCTAATAATTTTGTTTGTAAATAAAGAAAAAAGATCATTCTTCACGCCAGAGATGCGGAAAGACCCTATCACAAAATACCACAATCCACAACTGCATGGTGACAAGATCCACCAGAGCTTTAAACCCTCTTTTTAAGGTGCACCCACATTTAATTCTAATAGTCTGCTGGCTCAGTTTAACAGGGGTCTGTTCTCCCCCTCAGACACACCCCAAAACACTTCGCCTGCAGAACACAGTTCATTGCAGCAAGTTCCCAAGAATAAGCTTGTGAGGAAGCAACAGGGAACTCTGCAGATCAACCATCAATTTCCCTGGAAACTGTTGTGCTAGACAGACAATGATAGCGTATCCTCACAATACACTTCCCACAGACAGTGCTGTGCAGTAACAGAGTAATTACCACACAAGTGTTCATTTAATTGAGTAATATAGAAAAGCCACTTGGGGTGGTATAAAGTTCCCTCCCCTTTTCAGGCTGAAGGGGTCCCAAGAGACCCTTCATTTTATCCACTCTTCTCTCCTTCATGTCCCTACATTGTGATTGCTGCTTGTTCCTCTGGGGGATGGGCACCACTCCGTCTGGATGCCTACTCCCGAATCAGCAGAGAGGTGTCGGTACAGACTCTACCCTTCCTGCTGAGCACGCCGATCCTAGCAACTGCTAACCAAAGTTCATGTCTGAATCTCAAGGGCCCACCTACCACATTCTGCTGGGTAGTTGGGCAGCCCTTATTTTGTTGCGATTTTTTTCAAGGCCTACGCATCTTTGATTGTGATCTGACGATCGGCGGGAATTTGTTTCTCTGCTCCCCATGTGCAGACTGTGACCAGCTCACATGCTGCCCAGCCATCAGTAATTAATACTCTTTGTGAAAATGATAATATTAAGTATGTGGTACAATCAGAGTGGCGTGGGATATTCCGAGACAGATGGAGAGTCTGGAGGAAGCCTGGAGTCCTGGATCTTCTTAAAGTGACAGAACCACTAACAACAACCTCTTCCAGCCTCAAAGGAAAGCCGCCAGAATGTAAGAGAGACTCAAGTCTGAACACAGCGGTGCAAAGGAGAATGTTGTATATTTAATAATCAGGAAGGACCCATATGGGTTTTCTTAGCAAAATGCTTACCCTGCATTTAAACACAAAAAGAAGATTCCAAGAAGCCACACATCAAAGCAGCCGCTGAGCCATCTTCCAACAGCCAACTCCTAGGTTACTCTCTCTGTGTCAGCCTCTAGGCTTAGAGAGGTGCACACTAATTTAACAACGTTGAGCGTCCCCAGGCACATCCAGCAGACATAGGAACTCCAGCTCAGCCTGTCTCTATACATTGCAGGCTAATTAAACTTTTACTCACTTGAGTAAAACATAGACTCATAGACTTTAAGGTCAGAAGGGACCATTATGATCATCTAGTCTGACCTCCCGCATGATGCAGGCCACAAAGCCGTCCCTACCCTTTCCCTTGACTCTGCTGTTGAAGTCCCCAAATCCTGTGGTTTAGAGACTTCAATTAGCAGAGAATCCTCCAGCTAGCGATCCCTGCCCCATGCTGTGGAGGAAGGCGAAAAACCTCCAGGGCCTCTGCCAATCTACCCTGGAGGAAAATTCCTTCCCGACCCCAAATATGGCGATCAGTAAAACCCCGAGCACGTAGGCAAGATTCTCCAGCCTGACCCTCATTAGCCATTATACTATTTACCAGCGATGGCACGCTGTTCCTTTGATTAAAATCATGTTATCCCATTAGACCATTCCCTCCATAAACTTATCTAGCTTAATCTTAAAACCAGACAGGTCCTTCGCCCCCACCGTTTCCCTGGGAAGGCTGATCCAATATTTCACCCCCCTGACGGTCAGAAACCTTTGTCTAATTTCAAGCCTAAACTTCCCCACGGCCAGTTTATATCCATTCGTTCTCGTGTCCACATTAGTACTGAGCTGGAATAATTCCTCTCCCTCCCTGGTATTTATCCCTCTGATATATTTAAAGAGAGCAATCATACCCCCCTCCATAGTACTGTGGAAAGCACGTCTGATGGCACCCACACCACATCATGTCTTATTTCTTGACATATTGAGCCTTCACTTACCATACCTGTAACCAGCTGCTCCATTCTAGCTAGAGGATTGATCCCATATATTTGCTGAAGGAACCTACACTGTTGTTCTATTTTAAATGATTTACTTCACAGGTTAGAAAAACAGTGTCAGTCCCACAACAGGTCATTAATTTCCATAAGTTATGGCGGAAACTGTTCTCTCTCCTCACTTGGGTTGGTTACCTTTATCCTCAATCAGAGGCAGCCCAGAGCAATTATATATAATAATATATGGAGATATACCTATCTCCTAGAACTGGAAGGGACCCTGAAAGGTCATTGAGTCCAGCCCCCTGCTTTCACTAGCAGGACCAAGTACTGATTTTGCCCCAGATCCCCGAGTGGCTCCCTCAAGGATTGAACTCACAACCCTGGGTTTAGTAGGCCAATGCTCAAACCACTGAGCTATCCTTCCCCCCTACAAGTAAGTGAGAATAGATCATGGAAAGAATCCACAAGAATGGAAGAGACACCGAGAGGAGAGAAGATGAAACAAACTGATAACACCAATAACCTCACTGGTACCTCACACTCCCACATGTGTCTGTTGTATCTACTTGCTGTCTCTCATCAAATACTTACATTGTAAACTCTGTAGGGCAGGAATAGAGTCTTTTTCACTATACGTATGGGTACAGTGTCTAGCACAGAGGGGGCCCCGATCCCTGACTGATGACTCTATGTATGACCCCAATACAAATATAGAACAATAGTTGTCTCAAGTGAAACATGGAAGCTGACGGTATTTCTTTGTTCTCCTTTCTCAAACCAAAGAAGCTCTAGTAATGGGAAACCAACACAAAAATGACCTGGGCTCATAGGACTGAAGGTTCTTAACTAAAGCTTTCATGTCGCCAGACCATAATTATCTGGGGAAGAAAAACGATGCCCAAGAATCAATACTGAGGGTAGAATACAATGTTTTCTAAACCTTCACCGCATTACAGCTTGCACTGACAAATAGTACACATAGATTTGCTTTCCTTTATCATAGTGGGGTTTGGTTGTGTTTTAGAAAAATAAGTGAGTGCTTTTGGTACTTACCCTTGGGCCGACGTCCCCTTGTTCACCCTACGTCACACAAAACAGCAAGGTACAGCAATTAGAGTTCAAATCTCAGACATGTAAGACAGAGTGGAAGGCATGTAGACTATGGAATGGTACCCCTTGGGAAATGGCAAGAACCCCATAGCTTAACTCATTCAAAACCAGGCCGGACAAGGCCTTGAGACAATGTGACAGGGAACAATTCTGCATTGGCAAGAGATGAGCAGATACTCCAGGTATTTTCCATTTTTAAGGCTCCCACAGCCACTGCCTGTAACCTACATTGAAAAAAGGTGCCTGGGCTAAGATAGTTTTGTAACAGTAGCCACGTTTCAATGGCTTTTCTATCTCTCAGTGGGGGAGCTAGAGCATAACATGGAAAAAGGAGAGCACAACCACTAAGCTATCTGTGCTGCTGGAGACAAGGATGGCATGTGGATGTCTCAAGGTGTGTGGGGATGCTTGTATGCTTGGAAGAGTTAGCATCTGCTAATTCTTTCCCCCTCTAAAGAGAGTGCGACACTATTTCTACCCTGTCATTTCAGAGCATTTCCTGCTGTAGCTTTTTCCCTTCCATGGGTTTGGCCAAGGTAAAGGGAGAATTTAGCCTTATGGCTCCATGCTCCACTATGAAACAATTAGAAGACAAGACTCTACCATATTAGGTATTCTTAACTAAAAAAATCCCAGTGCCCAGGAAACAAGTATTTGTTAATGCAGCGTAGAGGGTTTTTAAAGATGCATTTTGGTGAGTTTAGTCATTACCTTTTCCCCTTTTGGTCCGGGAGGTCCCTGTAAATATAAGTGAGAGCAGAATAAAAAAGCAGCATATATAATCAGCATACACATCTCTGCTCCAGTGTCTTGACTAGAAAGGATAAAATTCTTTATTCATAATTTGATTCCCATTCAGCTCTATTTCTCTTTCTTTTTTATTAAGCTACATGTTGTTTTACATAAAAGATGCATGTCTAATGAAGCACCAATGAGACCACCATTCTGTTTCCCTCTCATCAGCAGGAAGAACAGAAAAAGAACATTTTAATCTGCATCTCAAGCACACATGATATTGAGATGTACTATAAGCAAGACATTGCTTGAGCTATTAAACCATTTCTAGAAGCACATGCTCAGTGTGTCATTACAGGTACGTTATTCCCAATTATCAGGGCCGGCTCCAGGAACCAGCCGAGCAAGCTGGTGCGTGGGGCGGCAGCTTGTAGGAGGCAGCATTCCGCCCAATCCTAGGGCGGCACGGCCACTTTTGTTGTTGTTGTTGTTCTGCTCCGGCTGCCCTGTAGGGGGCAGCGGCGTGGAAGATGGGAGCGCCCTGTAGCAAGCCCAGCAGAGCAGCCCGCATTCTTCCCTCCCAGCCGACCGGAGCAGCGCAGAGCCCTCCCGGGGGGGAAGGGGGCATGGCGGGAGGGGCCGCGTGGCAGCGCCCCGCTGAAGCCCTGGCCGCCCCCCTTCTCTTTCTCCCCCCGCTAGCCGGGGCACATCTGCAGTGCAGGGAGTCCCCCTGCACCCTGGCTCCAGCCGCGCCGCAGGTTTCTTTGTTTTTTTTTTGCTTTGCTGTTCTGGCCACCGCGGTTGTTTTTTTTTTTGCTTGGGGCGGCCAGAAAGCCAGAGCCGGCCCTGCCAATTATACAACTGTTTGAAATATATAAGGAGGGCGGGCTGCTTTCTTTGGCCTATTTGCTGTTCCCCCAAAATAGCTCTGTCTGAGATGGGCAGGAAGAGATGGGTTAGAGCCCCAAAAAGCCATGAAAAATGCTCTGATGTGTGTTTCACTCAAGGTTTAAGTCAAAAGAAGAGTTTCATTTCCATTCAGCACAATTAATGGCGTGAGCATTAGCTAAAGCAAGACCTCATGTGCCACAGGCTGGAGAGGAGGCAGTAAGTCAAAAGGGAGGCACAATGGCAGAAGCATTCGCCTACTTGCACAGCAGCCCATTCGCTGCAAGTCTGGCCTTAGGCAATAGTGCTGGCCCCTTACTTTCAAGGGCATCCCATGGACGAGCTCAGGAGCGGCCTGGTCTCAGTACAACCATTTGATGGGCTAGGTTTGCTTTTTCTTTCAGTTTGGTTTTTGCCTCCCCAGAGGAGTCTCTTCCAGCCTTGGGGCTTGCATTTAACTTCTGACCATCAACACACGCACAGAGAGGAGAATGGATCCTGTAGCGCATGTTGTATGTGTTTGTGGTTTCTGTTCCTTCTTTTAATTTATGGGTCTTCTTTTGCCTTAGGGTTTTGCTAATTTAAGGCCAGATCCCATTGGACAGCAGAATGCTCAGCGTGTTGCACAACCCGGGCCCCTAGTTTCTTGGGTTTAGGGGATTTAAAAAACAAACAAACAAACAAACAAAAAAAACACATTTGCCTTTTCTCTATTCCCATGTGTTCTCTGTAGGGATGGGCAATAGCCAGAGGAGGTTGGCTCTGCAAAACTAATTCAAGCTATTCATATCCAGTAACCATTCCCACCCTTCCCACTGCCACCAAAGCGTGAGGTGGGTTCGGAGTATTTAAAATGGCTCCAATGTAAGTCTATTGCTATGTTTTTCTTTCTCCCCCTCCCCCTCTCTTCCTTAAGGACCAAAAAAGTGAGGTTTCTTTCTTTCTTTTAAGATTTTAAACATTTGTTGAAATTAAAAGCATTACTGCTGAAGAAATTAATATCATTTGGAAAGAGAAAAAACCAGATTCACTTGTTCTCCTTTTAGGCCAAGCAAACCCTGTAATTTTATTTTATTTTATTTTTTAAAGAAAGAAAGAACCGTTAAATATTTCTGGTGGGGAAAAAACCTGAGAACAAGAAGTATGGGACATTAGCTCCAATTCTGCAGGAGAGTCCATGCTGATGGATGGAAAGAGCCACATTGCAGGGGATTTAGGGGTCTGCCTCTGGAGCCTGTTGCAAGATCAGGGTTATAGCCTATATTTGCTCTACACATGGACATCCTGCTTACAGACATTCATAGATTTTAAGGCCAGAAGCAGCCATTACGATGCTCTAGCTGGACAGACATCCTGCCTCTCTATATGTCGGTGGATGTTTACTACGTGGACCAAAGGAATTATTGGCCTGTAGAAAAGTAGATCACACTATAAAACACATGGGTTTCATGCCCCTCTCCTCACTCAGAGTCCTATCCTGCAAACATTTGATTCCATGTGTATACTGACAACAGAGGAGCCTAGGGAAAGCTATTCAAACTTCTTGGCTGAAATTTCCAAGGAGCCTAAGGAAATTAGGTATTTAGGGACAGATTTTTAAAAGGTATTGGGGTGCCTAAGTAGGTGCCGACTGTGATGTTCAAAAGCACCTAAATCCCATGGAAATCAATGGAAGTTAGGTGCCCGGATGCTTTTGACAATCCCACAAAGCACCTAGCTACCTTTATAATCTGGCCCTTAGGTCTCTCAGCCCCTTTGAAAAGCCCATCCTGTGTCCTGAAAACGGTGCTGGAAAACACACGAGACCTGGCTCTTTCACGAAACTTCGGCGATTTTTTTCTTTCCAGATAGACCAAAAAATACTGAGAACAGCACAGAAAATTAATTTTGTGTATATAGCTATAAAAACATACACCAACTTTTTCAAACCTCCAAAAAAGTTCAATTCCGGATTGGTTTGAATAATGGGCAAAGATTCTCGTACTGATCTAACTGGTTGGTCCGCCCCCAATTGTTTTCTACTAGTAGTCTTTTTTTTAATATAGCAACAGAAATAGAGCATATTTGCAGCTATAATGAAACATTCCCAAAGTGGCTAACAAAATATCTAGAACGACTTTGCAACTGAATGAATTGGCCTCTACGATCTTTCTCAATACAGTCACAATGATTTGTAGCTTGAAAAGATTTCAAATGCGGCCCTCTAGTGATCATGGAAGGAAATGCAGTTTGAAAACAAAATGCACACAAGTGACAGTTCTTAAATATCCTCTATGAAAAAAATCAGAACTGACCAAAGTTCAGTCAGCGTGTTATCAAAAGGCTCTGATTTTGTAAAGACAATAAGGAGACATGTACCTGGATTTCCAATAGGCTTCCAAGCAAAAGAAAGAAGTCAAGAGAACATTATGTAAAAATGAATTCCAGACTGTGCCCCATCCCACTAATTCACAAAATGCTACTTCAATAATCATGCACACTGAGACCAGTTCCAAACCACTCTGGAGAAATGTACACCCCTACTCAGCAGTGTGTGTATTCAGAGAGACTGGTCACTTTTTCAATTTAAATAATTTATTATGACTTTTTACTCCCATTAGCATCCAGCTAAGAGTGTGCACTTGATTTTGTTCCCTCCAGTGCATCAATGGAGTTGCTTTTTAAGTTCCAATTACAGGGACAATCTGTGCAAACACATGGAAAGCAATGGGGTTCATCAGATGTTACTGAGGGCATAATTTGTTTGATCAGAGATGAAGCTCAAGAAGGAAAGAACCCAGCTTCTCTTCCCAACCAGTCCCAAGTTGAGTTTATAGGGCTGGCACTTAGAAAGGTACATCTTTTTATTTATAAACTCAGCACACTGTATATAAAAATTACTGAGACTCAAAAACCACAGAACTCCAGAATGACAGTGTTATGTTACAGTTACCTTTCAGAGCAAAAGCTCACAGAGGCCCCGATCCTGAAAAGACTTACAAAAGTGCTGAACTTTATACACTGTGATTAGTCCCATTGAAGTCAACAGGGTTTCACCTGAGTGCTGCAATTTACCCAGATGCTACCATTTGCAGGATTAGGGCCTAATCTGGTAAATCCTAAAATCAATCTGTGTTACAAAGCATAGAGTGACCTTGCTGTACTGCACCTTGTAATAATTATAATGCAGAGCTCCATTATTACAATATTTGGGTCTGCATGTATGTGTTTCATGGAGTAACTAGAAATAAATAAATGGTATATTTGACACTTAACGCACTACTTACTGGCTTGCCATCCAAACCAAGGGGCCCCTGAAAAGGGAAGCAAAGATACCAGATTACAAAAGGAGATTAATTTGTGAATGCAGCTATTTCAGTCATGCTCTAAAACAGGCTCTAGATTAGATCTAGTGCATTGTGGATTATATTAATAGATCTTATCACTTTTTCAAGATTCAATAATATTTCTCAAGAGAACAATAAAATAAAGGATGTCAAGTAATATATAATAGAGAGTATGAAAGGGTGTGAAAAGAAACAAAGGCATGGTGGGAAGAATAAGATGATTCCCTTCAGGCACGGTGCTTAGATCGGTCAGGGATTTTTAAAGCACCTATCAGAGCAGCACAGAACCCAGGATGGATCCCACATGTGACTCAACTTCAGAACTGGGCCTTTATTTTTTTAAAACAATAGGGACAAGAACTTATCATTTACCCAGATTCTATGGGCCACCTCTTGCCCTGCATCATTCCCACTGACAGCAACGGGAATCCCGCTGTGCACAGAGGCAGCGTATAGCATGGGACTTTAGTCCCTGATCCCGCAACACATACACAGATGCTCAGCTTCACTCACCAGAGTAGTTGCATAAAGTCAGATGCATGAATAAGTGTTTGCAGGATTGGGGCCTTAGCAATCTTACCTATCCTTTAAATCTACCCTTCTAGGATTCCCAAAGGAAATGCACAGTAAGTACCCCGAGTAACGGTTGATTTATTATTTACAATCACGTCGTCCCTTACATGGCGGTTAAATGTCATTAAACATATGAGGCCAAATTGTGTCTGGCCCTTGAGTGAGTGTACATGAGGAGGGGAGTGTGTAGGTCCTGAGCACCAGGCTACTGCTGCTGTCTAGGAGAACCTGTGCAAAGGCTAGGGGTGGCTCCAGGCACCAGCGCACCAAGCGCGTGCCTGGGGCAGCAAGCCACAGGGGGCAGCCTGCCGGTCGCCGTGAGGGCGGCAGTCAGGCTGCCTTCGGCGGCATGCCTGTGGGAGGTCTGCCGGTCCCGCGGCTTTGGCAGCAATTCGGCGGCGGCTATGCCGAATCCGCGTGACCAGCGGACCTCCCGCAGGTGCACCGCCAAAAGCTGCCTGCCTGCCGTGCTTGGGGCAGCAAAAAACATAGAGCCGCCCCTGGCAAAGGCACTGACTTTAGTCCTGCTACTCCTCAACCAGAGCTGTTGAATAGTTGCAGTAAATCCCTGGAAGGACAGTGCTGTTACCGGCTGGTCTACTTGCCACCCAGATAACTTCATCTCTTCTGTAACTGGATTTATAACCATCTCCTAAACAGATAAGGGACCGAGGCCCCGATTCACTTTGGCACCTGCTTAAGTCTCACAGACGTCAAAGGGGGTTAAATATAGGCCTACCTTTAAGCACATGCTTTAAACACTTTGTGAGGTAGGGATGGACTTAAGCATGTGTGAAATACTTTGCTGAATCGGGGCCTTAATAGGTTAGTTTTAAACAACTGTGCCGTGGAGCATAGCAATTCTCCAGTGGCAAAGTCTAATCCAGTTCAGCAGCGTGGCTTGCCATTCTACAGTAATTTTAGATGCCATTTATGGTTCAACTTCTGTTGGTCCAATAAAAGATTAATATCACTCACCTGGTCTCTCTCATATCCCGGGACCAACACCACTACAACAACTTTATGGTTCAGCCTTTTCCCTATGCTGGTGAGCAGCTGTCACTTTGTCATGTGAAAAACCCAACTACAAGACTCCGACACAAGAACCATGCGACCCATATTCTCATGCAGCTGAATTGCTCATTTGTGTCCCCAAACATGCAATTTTGATCTACAGTATGTTCCTATCACTGAATGTGATGTTGCTTTCATCACTTCATGGTAAGATAAGGGCCATGGTCACTAAGTTATAGCTTGGAATCAATGCTCTTTTATATTTCCACATCACAGCTACACTGTATGACATATGTCTTGCGTCTCTCTCTCTAAGCAACACTGGACATGACAGTGATGTAAATTTGGAGTAAACCTTTTGAAGTAAACAGAGTTTGGATCACTCCTGTACAACAATATATGGTCAGGATTCTCCAGATTTCATAAAGTAAAAAATAGGGTAAAACAATTCAGTTCAGCTGAAAGTCTTGTGATGTTGTAGTTAATTTAAAAAAAAATGGTGTAAGAGAATCCCAAGCAATACATTAAAAAGTCTTTTTCCACCTAACCACTTGTTAACTTCGGAAGTAATCTTGAAAAAGTGTGATTCTGTTTTCCTTTATGTGTACACACTCTAGAGATTTTGTATGGTGTTTTAATCTTGTTAGAACAATGTTACCCAGTGAACTTTTTTCTGTTTTTTAACCAAATAAAAGGCAAACAGACATCAGAGAAGAATTCACAGGGCATGCGGAACTGGTTACATTTTGGTAGAGCCTGATATAAAGTAGCTCCGAAACCTGGAGCAAATTCTAGTTTTCAGAAGAAAGTTATAAAAAAAATAATGCAAGTATTTCAAGATGCAAACCATTTCATTTCAAATTCCAATCCAGCTGTTTTTAATTGCTACTTTGTACCAAACACACAAAGCAGTACCCAAAAGGGATCGGAAGGGTGGTTCTCTTAAGGAAAAACATTGTGTTTGTGGGAAGGTGTTTAATTAGTGTTTGGTACAAAAGGCACCTTAGACCAGATTGCCAAAGGGTCCTCATCCCAGCTCTGACATCTGAGTGCCCCCAAACTGAAATTTGCATATGCATCTAGTCTAAGTCTTGAATTCTCAAAAGCATTCTTTTACTGAAATCACTGGTCCACGCAATTTGAATTTGGGGCTATTTATTCCAGACACAGTAGAGCTATTTTTATTAAGTTTTTAACAATGGCTAGTGTGGGCCAGGATAGCTAGAGTGTGTCTGCCTGTACAAAGTGCTAGTATAAGGCCTATGCAACACTCAAGTCCTTAAAACAGGGCTTACGTTGAATTTAAATGGTGCTTAGGCCCCATGTCATTCTGCGTAGGGATGAATTTCACAGAGGAAAGTATAGTTTTTACTTTTTAGATTAGAAATTAAAGAGTCTTGTGGCACCTTATAGACTAACAGATGTATAGGAGCATGAGCTTCCGTGGGTGAATGCCCACTTCTTCGGATGCATGGAATAAATGGAAAGCCTTGAGGCAAATGTCCATTTCTGACTGGTACCAGAGAAACTGCACCCACCAACGCTCTTCATGAGGGCCTCCAGGCACAAGCAGGACATCATCAGAACAAATTCCCATTGGCTGAACATGCTGTGAGGACAGAACGCTTTCCCCTGGTAATTGAACCCCATTCTGTGACTGGTTCAGTACTGAACATTGCCTGTCTTGGGGCTGAGACCAGTGTAACTTTGTGGGAAATAATCCACCTTTGGAGGGAAAGGAAGAAATATTTCTCTGTCAGTTTGATTTAAAAAACCCAACATTTGTTTGGAGCCACTCAGAGATTTCGAACAACAGAAGTGGCCTGGAAGGAGGGACTGGAGATGCAGAGTGCAGGTGATGGGGTGATAGGTGCATATATTCACCTTGATTCTATGATCTAAATGGTACATATGCACACAGAAAGACTTCTTTTCAGACTAACAATAAAAAACAGGGCCTATCTGTTCTGCCATGGCATGTATGCAATGGTTTGTTTATAGTTTAATTTAAAACGTAGAAAGTAGTAAAGTAAGATGCGGGGTTTGGGCTGGGCCATCACCATTTGCTCCATGTCAGCACTTGGCATGCAACATTTCAACCTCAGAGTATACCGATTTATTCAGACATGTTTTGAAGCAAATAATTGTGGCTGTTTTATCGTTCAAGCTGGGGAGGGTGAGAGTGGAATGCCGAAACGTCATTTCAGATTTATCTTTTAATTCTCAGCGGGTGAACTTCACGCCTGTGCAGAGAGCCAGCTCAAGGCCTGTGAAACATTCATGCCTTTGGCCTGGTTTACATCTAAGCTATGCTGCTCAAGAGAGACT